AAGAATTTATCTGCTATCCTGTTAGAATCAGATCCTCATGGAAGATATGTTATGCTTGAACTTGGTTTATATGGCAAGAAAATTCTTATCGTGGGGCTGTATGCACCAAACCAGCAACAGGAGCAATTCTACAGGTTGCTACATCAGAAAATAACCTTGTTGGACTATAGATCTGTGATTTTAATGGGAGACTGGAATGGTGTCTTAGATATACAAAAGGATAAAAAAGGCTCTTCTACTTTTTTTAAACAGGCTAAGCTACCTAAAGCCTTCTTTGACATGAAAGAAGATTGGGAATTGAGAGACTATTGGCGTGAACGTAACCAGGAAGAAAGGGACTTTACCTTCTTCTCAGATAGACACCAATCTTTCTCAAGAATTGATTTTTTTTTGATTACAACAGATTTATACAACAGGGTGAAGAATGTAAAAATTTTTCCTAGGACATTGTCTGATCATAGTCCAGTTTGGATGGAACTGTTTGCTGAGAAAGAAGACAGGAGATCCTGGAGGGTGAATGAGAATTTATTTAAACAAGAAAAAAATGTCCATAAACTAAAGGAATGTTTAAAGGAATATTTTGCTTTAAATATGAATAAGGGAACATCAATGTCAATGGTGTGGGATGCAAGTAAAGCTTTTATGCGTGGTATTTTGATAAAAATGAATAACTTGCATAGACAGAAACAGATTCAGAAACGTAAAGATTTAGAAGAGGAGATTAAATTAAAAGAGAAACTCCTAATTTCAAATCCTTTAGATGAAAAGGTGAAAGGAGCTATAAAACTGTTAAAAACACAATTTAACATGTTGATGGCTGATCAAGCTGCAACCAATTTACTATTTATGAAACAAAATACATTTTGTAATGCTAATAAACCAGGGAGATGGTTGGCTTATCAGTTAAGAAAGAAACAGAAACAGAGGAATATAGATAAAATAAATTATAATGGTAAATTGGTTTATCAGAAAGAATTGATTAAGAAATCTTTTTTAGAATACTACCAAAAATTATACAAGAGTACTAATATTCAAACTACAGATATAAACAATTATTTAGGTAAAGTTAATTTTCCTAAATTAACAGAAGATCAGGAAAAAGAGATTAATGGTTTAATTACTAAGGAAGAAATTGTTACAGCTATTAAACAATTGAAATTGGGCAAAGCGCCGGGTACGGATGGGTTGACATCTATTTATTATAAAACTCTAGTAGAAGAGATGACTCAACCGTTGTGTGAATTGTTTAATAACTTATTACAGGGGTTAGAGATCCCTCCATCTTGGCGTAATGCATTTATATCACTGATTCCAAAAGACAATCAAGATCTTACATTGCCTAAAAATTATAGGCCTATATCTCTTTTAAATGTGGATTATAAAATTTTTGCAAAAATTTTAGCTAATAGGTTTATGGGGATTTTGCAGCAGATTATACATAAGGATCAATCGGGTTTTATAACTGGAAGGTATATGAAAAATAATGTTAGACAAATTATTAACTTATTAGAGTATTTAGAAAAGAATAATCAAGTCTCTGCAGGCTTGATATTTTTGGATGCTGAAAAAGCCTTTGACCAAGTGAACTGGCAGTTTATGTTATGTTTAATTAAGGAGATGAATTTTGGACAAAATATATTACAAGTACTATCTAATATATATCAAAAACAGACTGCTCAACTTATTGTAAATGGGGGTTTGTCAGAGGCTTTTGTAATAGAAAAAGGTACAAGACAGGGATGCCCGTTATCCCCGTTATTGTTTGTTTTAACATTGGAAATATTGTTGATTAAAATTCGGGAGTCTCAAGAAATAAAAGGAATAGAAATTAATAAAAAAGAATATAAATTAAGAGCCTTTGCAGATGACTTGGTTGTTACTTTGTCTCAACCTATTTGTTCGGTGGTAAAATTATTACAATTGATCCAACAATATGGACGTGTTTCTGGTTTTAAAATTAATAATAACAAGACCAAAATATTAGCTAAAAATATGACTAATGGTGATAAACAAGTTTTAGTTAAGTTAACAGACTTTGAAATTGTTGATAAGGTAAAATATTTGGGGGTTACATTATCTGCTTCCAATGCAAAACTGTATAAAAATAATTATGAAAAGTTGTGGACGGAGATACAGAAGGATTTAAAAAATTGGAACAATTTACAGTTATCCCTTATGGGTAGAATTGCAGTTATTAAAATGAATGTCCTGCCAAAGTTTATTTTTCTGTTTCAAATGTTACCTATTTTAAAGAGTGATCGTAATTTAGATGAATGGCAAAAAGGTATTAATAAATTTGTTTGGGCAGGGAAAAAACCAAGGGTGAAACTTAAAATAATGCAAGATTTTCGTGAGAGAGGTGGACTCAAGGTACCAAATATGAAATTGTATTATGATGCTGTAGTACTAACATTGATCAGCGATTGGGTGAATTTAACAAATATAGAAATACTTCATTTGGAAGGTTGGGATTTACTTTTTGGATGGCATGCCTATTTAATATTTAATAAAAAAGTGGATTGGGTTTTTAAGTCTCATATTATAAGAATCTCTTTGCTTAGAGTGTGGAGGAAGTATTATAAATTTGATTTTAAAATACCATTATGGGCTATACCTCGGCATGCCATAGAAGGTATAAGGAAAGGGGTTAATATGGATATGGTTTCTTATGCACAGTTACTTAGATGGGATGGCCAAGACTGGCAGTTAAAATCTTTGGAAGAACTAATACATGAAAATCTAACTTATTCATGGTTCCAATATAGACAAATAGTGGACAGATGGAAGATGGATTGTAAAATGGGCTGGCTTAGAGAAGATGAAACTCTCCTAAAACAAGTAAGAGATCAAAGGCCAACCCATATTAAGAGAGTTTATGGGGTTTTAGTGGAATTGGATTCAGAATCTGAATTAGTTAAAGATTGTATGATTAAATGGGCACAGAATATTGGTGAATCGATTTCAATGGATACTTGGGAACTTATTTGGACAAGAAATGTTAAATTCACACAAGCGCAAAATTTAAGAGAGAATTTTTATAAGATGTTTTATAGATGGCACCTTGATCCAAAGAAAATGTCCATTATGTACTCTAATCTACAGCCGAAATGCTGGAGATGTGGACACTTGGATGCTACTTATTATCATATCTGGTGGACGTGTAAGCATATAAAAGCTTTTTGGATTAAGATATGGTGGAATATTCAGAGAATTTTTAGAAGGAGGGTAAAATTTACTCCGCAATTATTTTTATTAGGTATTGTTACTGATTGTGATGCTAGGGAGGTTATATTGATGCTAAATTTGATTACAGCCGCTAGGCTGTTAATAGGACAATATTGGAAGAAGGAATCCTTGCCTATTTTACAAGAGTGGTTTTATAAAGTTTCGTATTTGGCAGAAATGGCAAAGATTTCGGCTTTTTTAAAGGAGCAATCTCAAGAGAAATTTTTTGCGGTATGGGAAAAATGGATAAATTTTATACAACATAATTTAGACATGGAAAAATATTATTTAGCCTTTTTATAACTTGTAATGATTGTTTTTTTTTTCTTTCTTCTTCTGTATTATTATTTATATACTTTTCTATATATGTTTTATTTTTCGCCTACCTCTTTCTTTTTTCTTTCTCTCTCTCTTTTCTTTTTCCCTTTTTTCTTCTTTCCTTTTTTTTTACGTATATTATTATTATATATATTATTATTATGATTTTTATTATTATTATTAATTATCTTATAAATTGTATACGTTATTTTTTAAAATTTGTTAAATAATCCTATATTCAATTCTGGGAAGTCGGGGGGGGAGGGTGGGGTGGTTTGGGGGGGGGTGGATGTTTATTTGTAAAATTTTTGAAAAAAATTCAATAAAAAAAAAAACAAAACAGTTTTCTAATTTATTTTCTTGGAAACTTATCTTATGTAAAGGAAACTGTAACTTTGGTAATTATGTTCCCAAAAACTTAGAACCAATTCCCACACCTGGTGTGAGATGCTGGTATATTACATAAAAGATTATATGTCTAGTTAACAGGAGAGTTTTCTCTGTGTTTAAAGCTCTTAATCTGTGGTTTTCCAAGACAGGAACAAGCCTGTCAATCAATGGTTTCTCTTATGTTGTTCCCTTAAAGAGATTCACTACTTTGTGATTGTATGACATCAACCAAATTGAACAGAGATACAGAACATTTCCAAAATATACCCCAAATTAAAAAATGGAGTACTAAGCTAAAACTATGCTTAATGTATGATAATACATGGAGAAGGATTCCAGAGCTATGTCATATGAGAATAATATTAAACCCGTATAAATTGAATTCACATGCACTATGAAACAGGATCACATGATAAGTCCCACTCTGACTTTAGCATATTGAGAACTCTGTGCAGATCTAGTTGTAAATATCTGGGGATATCCAACATGTGTTTGGTAAGTGGAGCTTATAATACTACATCATTCTTGGTTTAAAAGAAAAGATGAATTGTTCCATGGTACAGATTTACATTATAGATGATATTTTAGTTTCAAACGATCTATACATCTTAATGCTCATTCAAAATTTCCATTGATTAGTAGCAAACAGCATCTCTTGCAGTTTTCTTAGTATATCTTCAAATTGCCTCTAGATGGCATTCCTGTAATCCCAGTTTATATTGCCAACAGTTACAAATGACAATAGTTACTAAATCACTGACTGCACAATGGGAAACTGATACCTTGTTTTAGTAATAAAGATGACCAGAAAATAGAGCCAGATTACTACACTGGCCATTCATTTAACAAAATGTAAATAAAGAACTTATTTTTTTCTTCCTGATATCTCTCTTTTGTTATAATAAATAGGATCACTGAAGTTAAAAAATTCACTTCAGATAAGAGAAAAATATATTTGCTAATATTGATATCATTAGTAGATTGAAAATTTCCCAGATATGCATTTTCTTCTGTATCAGTTTTGTACATTAATGTATATCTGTGTTTTTGTTGTTTGTTTCCTTTAGGCTGTACTATGGCGGTACAAGTTTTCCCAGCTTAAGGGGTCTTCAGATGATGGCAAGAGCAAAATTAAATTTTTATTTCAAAATCCTGATACTAAGCAGATTGAGGCAAAGGTAAAGACAAGAAAACAATTCCTTTTCCATTATTAAATTATTTATAACTAAATAACAGGATGTACCAATTTGTCTGAATTCAGAATTGGCATAGCCAGAGCATTGTGTACTGAGTTCAGAACTGGCACAGCAGTATGACTGTGGCTAACTAAGAGAAGAAAAAACAGCTTGGTGTAGTGGTTAAAGCAACAGGCTAGTAACTAGTGAACCATGAGTTCTACTCCTATATTCAGCCTGAAGCCTGCTGCATGACTTTGAGCAATCACTCTCTCAGCCCTAGGAAGGAGGCAAAACTTTCAAAAATGTTTCCAAGAAAACTGCAGGGACTTGACCACTGTCACTGGGAGTGAAAGCTAACTCAAACATTAGCTTTGAGTTAGCTAGCCACAGAGTAAAGTAGGAATAGCAGACCCCCCAAAAAGTAGAAAAGTAGAAAAATCACTTGTTTCTCTTTTAAAATATCAGACTAGTAGGGGCCAATGATGGTACATTCATTGTGTCATCACATCATAGAGGTAGTAACTGCTGCTGCTGTAAAGAGGGAGATTGGAGGCTTGGAGGAAGAATACCATAAAGCTCAATTTTATTTTTTCCTTATTTTTCCTATTCAGTAGAGATACATAGGATAAAATCTATATTTCAAAAATGAGTAATTTGCAGTTTGTAATACTGAGAAATGTCTCAGTGGGTTATGTTGTAGGGCAGAGATCTTCAAACTTGGCCCTTTTATGACTTGTGGACTTCAACTCCCAGAATTCCTCAGCCAGCTATGCTGAGGAATTCTGGGAGTTGAAGTCCACAAGTCATAAAAGGGCCAAGTTTGAAGACCCTATTGTAAGGGTTCCTGTTTTGACTTGTAATGACCAAAATAGGGATGTGCTTGAGGAATAGCCTGGCAAAGAAATGTGGGAAAAAACTCTTTATATACAATATTCTGGTATTTTGTACTTCTGACATACAAAGTCTTGAACACACAGATTTTAACATTTGTTACAATTTTATGATCAGAAATGTTCTAAGTTTCTAAAAGATTGATAAAAAATGAAATACAAAAGTATGTGAACTATATTTTATTTTAGATTATTTAAGGATTATACCCATCACATAGTAGCTTTTTTATTTAACTATCTTTCCCCAATTATTTGGAAATGTAAAATAATTATAGTTACAAATTTATATTTTAAAATTATAAAAACTGTGAGTTTACTAATCTGGATATAAAGAAAGTAATTTTGTAGTAAGACAAAAAAAATTAGTTTTCAGAGGGAATAATAGAACTGAGTGTATTATGAGTATATTTGATTTTCCTAAGCCTTGTGTTTGTGACTCTGCAACTGCTTCTTGGTAATTTTATCACAATATATGATAAATAAATTGGTTTGTCTCTCATATCTGATCATTTTGCTTTCACTTTCAGGAATTGGAATTTTCAAATTTATTTGCAGTTCTGCATTGCATCCACTCATTCTTTGCAGCTAAGGTGGCATGTTTGGACCCACTCTATGTTGGTAGTCAAGCCACAACTGCCACTAATTCTGCTTCTGTTGCTTCTTCTTCTTCTTCTTCTTCTGCTACTACTACTGCCACATCATCTGGCAGTTGCAAATTAAAATATATGACTTGATAACTCCCAGTCCTGCACTTGTATCCTTCCATAAGTATGTACAACTGCTGTATAAATATTTATCAACTTATTCCTTGGAGTACAGCAAGCATTAGAACCAACTCAAGAAAATGTGGCAGCTTTCTGCAGAATATGGTCACATGGGATCATAAATTAAATCTCAATTTTACAAAGCAGCAGTACACAATGAAGTTGAAAATCACATTGTGGAACAATATCTTTTTAATTTGATTGTGCTTTGACAACATTCAAAGAAAAAGAAACAAAAATAACTGATACATCATTATGCTTAAGCACTTAATACAATTTTCAAAACTCAATAATAACAGAGCAGTATCATTTCCTTGTTTCCAAATGTTTTTATATGATAATTTACTCAGCTCTGTATTTGAAGTAACATTCTCTTGATAGACTATATATGAAATAATGACAAGCAAAAGGCACAGAGCGTGTAAGAACAATGAACTGACCATGGAAAGTGATAACTCCTTAAAAAAGAAAAAGAAAGCACCTTAAATACCATTACAATTTTGTGTCATTTGGAACTATATTCATGGTCATTTTTATTTTGCTTTCAAGCCATTATCGTAATGATCAACATATAGCCATATTAGGCTAACAGTTTTAAAATTAAATATTGAAGCCATTTACAGTTGAGATCTACAATATTAGCCAGTTAGACTTTGTGTTCACAGAGAGCAGAAAAGGATTTATGGGGGGATAGGAGGAACTTACATAAATGAATGTTCCTCCTACACAATTGTTGCATAAAAACAAAATGTTTGAATGCTTGTAGCATTTGTCAGAATGCCCCAATATACTTTATTTTTGTCTGTATACAATTGAACAATGTGGGGGGGGGGTTGTCATTCTCTGTTTTTCCCTGGATTTATAGTGGTTAGACTTTTCTTCTTTTTGGTTTCATTTTAAGTGTTTCCTATTGCCTGCTTTTAGTGATCACAACTGGAAGAGCTCAGAGTTAACAATTTACAAATCCTGCTGTATGGGAACTCTTTTCCTGCTATAATAAGTTATGGTGTCTCCTTTCATTCAATCTAAAAAATATGGGCAATTACAACATCTACCTTTTCTGAAACTTAAAATTTTATTCTGGAGTACAATATTGAAACTGAAGTATTAGAATGAAACTGTAGCGACTTAAAATTATTAGCTTTAAATCAGATTGCTTTTACCTGGCAACTCTTAATATACAAGGACAACAACTTCCAGATGCAGGTGTTTACTCTAAGGCACACTGACATCACATGCATTATTGTGCCAGTGACATGAATTATACTGATGCAAATTACATAATGAATGTCACTTGCATAACAACATCATAAAACCTGTACTTTCTCTTGCCTTTCTGTATGCACACCTCCTTCCAACAGCATTCTGTAGAAAAAAGTTTCTATCTCAATACATTTGGGTTCATTAGTTTAGGAAAGATTACCTTAAAACCACAAAGTTTTGTATTTCTAGATACAGATTTGATTTATTGGGGAAATCTAGTAATCAGAGTGGTTTTAATGTGGCTTAATTAGAAGATAATGTTAAATTATGCTCCCTGCGAGTCCCTTGGACTGCAAGGCATTCAAACTGGTCAGTCCTAGAAGAGATCAACTCTGACTGCTCTTTAGAAGGCCAGATTCTGAAGTTGAAACTCAAATACTTTGGCCACCTAATGAGAAGGAAGGACTCACTGGAGAAGGGCCTAATGCTGGGAAAGATTCAGGGCAATAGAAGAACGGGACAACAGAGAATGAAATGGCTGGATGGAGTCACTGAAGCAGTAGGTGTGAACTTAAATGGTCTCCAGAAAATGGTAGAGGACAGGAAGACCTGGAGGAACGTTGTCCATGGGGTCGCGATGGGTCGGACATAACTTCGCAATTAACAACAACAACAACATGCTGCCTGCTATTACATTTTATAAAGAAATTTCTTATAATCTGCCAGATTTGGTTCTCAATTCCCAAACAGACTGATTTACAATAAAGTCTTGTACAAATTTTACTTTTTAAATGCAATTTTCATATTGCCTGCCAAAAAACAACTAAGAAATAAGTTTCTTATTTCTTATAAGGGACTTTATTTACACTTTTGTAGCTTAACTAACAATTATTAAAAATGATCCTACAATAAACAAGGTTTTTTTTTAATTCTCATAGTAGTTAGCAAAAGAGTTGAGAAGTTCTTAAAAAAACTAAGATGGAATTTTTATCATTCCAATCCAAAGCATATAATAATACCTTTTCAGATGTGTTCTTTAATAAATATCATCTTCAATTATAATATTTATAGACTGATTTTAATATACTCCTTACATGGGAAATATCAAGTGTTTGGAAAAGCATGTTTCTGAGAATGCAAATAAGAACCCTTTGCTTATAATGTAAGGCAGGTATGTCAAACTCGCAATGTCACGTGACATCGCACGACATATTGGAGCTTTTCCTCCATTGCTGGCAATGGGGTGGGTGCGTCCGGCCCGCGGGCCAGCATTTTGTGATGATGTGTCCAGCCCGTGGGCTGGCATTTTGACACCCCTGATGTAAGGGTTGGGCAAATCCTTCAAAAGAAGTGTTTCATAACCCATGGTAGGAAAAGGCAAGGGCAAATGGCTGTTCATACATTCAGGGTAACTGAAAGCAGCTTAGGGAGCAGCCATGTCAATCTGAAAAAAAAACTGCTTTAATAGGCATGTGGGGTTTTTTTGTGTGTGTTTGTGTTTTAGAGAGAGAGAGAGAGAGAGAGAGAGAAAGAAAGATATTTTCCTTCAACTCATATTTGAAAGTGCTTACAGTATTTCAACATATTTGCATAATCTGAGTCAGAAGAGTGTTCCTCTCTGACAATAAAGTGATCATCCTAAATATATTAGAAGAGCCAGCCACTGTGATATAACTTTTTCTGTGTGCTATGTGCACATACACAAAATATCTGAAAGGAGTTATATACATGCCTTTTAAATTATTTTATGAGGAATGTTGAGATGAAATTATAAATTTTGAACTATTATATGAGTCAATAATATGCTAGAGTTCTAACAAACAATTATAGTTTACTTTTCATTAAATAAGCTTAGTTATTCACTGGGCATCATAATGCACAAATGTAGAGTGCATAAACAAGATTTAAATCAGTGTAACCAAACTGAATGTACAATTCTCTATTGCCATTAATCAAAAAATGCACAGGAAAAAATCCGTTCTCTCCAGAGCATTCCATTTTTTTATTATTTTATTTTCCACCAAAGGTGGTTCATCTGCTACTTCTTTTGCCCCATCACAATTTAATACAAAAAATGGGATGCGATTTTCCACAATCTGTGTGCCAACCTCTGCACAAAGCTACGGTAGTTCTTTAGATTAATACATGTATTCGTATGCATGGACAAAAACAGTTTAGAATAGAATAGAATAGAGCTGGAAGAGACGTTGGAGGTGTTTCTAGTCCAGCCCCCTGCTCAAGTAGGAGGACCTATAACATCTCAGACAAGTGACTGTCTAGTCTCTTCTTTAAAATCTCCAGTGATGGAGTACCCACGATTTCTGGAGGCAAGTTGTTCCACTGCTTAATTGTCCTCACTGTCAGGAAGTTTCTCCTTAATTCTAGGTTGCTTTTCTCTTTGTTCAGTTTCCATCCATTGTTTCTTGTCCTGCTCTCTGGTGCTTTGGAGAATAATGTGATTTGCTCTTCCTTGTGGCAGCCCCTCAAATACTGGAATACTGCTATCATGTCGCCCGTTTCTTCTTTTTTTTAGACTAGCCAAACCCAACTCCTGCAGCTGTTCTTCGTATGTTTTAGTCTCCAGGCCTTTGATCATCTTAGTTGCTCTTCTCTGAATTTTTTCCAAACTCTCAACATCTTTTTTCTGATATAGTGACTAAAATTGGCTGCAGTAGTCCAGGTATGGTCTTACTAGGGTTTTATAAAGCGGTACTAATACTTCACATGATCTTGATTCTATGCCTCTGTTTATACAACCCATGCTGGCTCATAGTCAAGTGATCATCCACTAGGACTCCAAAGTCCCTCTCACAGATATTGTTTTTAAGCCAGGCCTCGCCCAATCTGTACTTGTACCTTTGATTTTTCCTGCCTAAATTTATAGCAGTAAATTTCATACCCCATGTCTCCCCATTTTTTAAAAAAACCCTTTTTTATGCTTCAGTTTACATTGTGTAATAGAGATAGCAAATGAAATTGGTACTCTAGAAAAAAATATGTTATTTGCACAATTGCTTTCATCTGCCTGCTTTTCAAAAATTGGGAAGATTATTTAGCAGTGAATATGATGTACAACATTTACACAATTTCTACATATCATGAAAGTTACAGTACATTTTGTAAAGCCAAGAAGAAGGATTTCCAAGGTGAATCTCCTATCCTGCTCCATGAAATATATCAAAACAAGACAAAATCTTCAAAGAAAATACTTTAAAGTTTAAAGATTTATAGAGTTATTGGTATTAACTAATAATATATTTTTTAGTCAGGAAACTGTATCATGATTCTTATATATGCTGTATAGTAAAATACAAATTCTGTTAAATAGGAATATTATAATAGTTTGCCAGGATGTTACTTAGCAATGTAATATATGATATATCAAAATATTCTCCTTGTATGTGTATCACATTGACATAAAGAGAGATAGCCTATGACATAGGAAAACAAAGCCAAGTTTCACTAGCATCTACCATTTGATGCAAACAGCCATTTGTAGAAAATTTATCAAAGCATTTAGTGAAATTGAAACATATTTGTTTAATAGAAACAGTGAAAATTCAAGTAAATGTGTAAACCGTGATTACATACAGAACAGTTATAGTTATTATTGAACTTGTAATTCATGTAACAATTAATATTCATTAATGGAAATTATCTTGATTGTGCCTTAAAAATGCCACTCTTTACATGCTGCACAATTATAGTATAATTGCAATATATTAATTTCTTAAGTTGTGACCAGTATACCTGGTCATATGTCCCAAATTGGCTATTATGAACTTATGTTAAAAGCCATAAAAGAACATGATATTCAAATAGATCTATTTGAATGACATATCCAAATAGAATTAAGGGATTAATTATGTAGTCATACTTCATTCATTTAATGATTATATAATTTGTTGAAATGAAAAATGTCTGAAAAATGAAGCATTGTCATTTAAAACTATCATATTTAAAAACATTGATGAGGGAAATAGTTATATAATTTTAAAAAATCTCTTCATTATTATTTTAACTGGTTGTGCTTTTTTAACTTTTATAAAATGAGGAGGCATTACATAATCAATAAAAATATATTTGGTGTCATTGTATGACATCATAGCATTAAAAAAAATGAATTTCATATATGTAGTTGAATTACACATAGATAAATACCATGCTCTTACTGTATCTGTTTTCCACCAGACGGTTCCTTTGGTGGATTTCTTCTCCCAGGGAGATAGATTATATTAGCATTAAATTTGAAACTATCTGTAGAAAGTCTGTGCTCAGCCCGGCTCAGTTCAATAGTAATCCTAAGTCTCATTTTATGAAAACATCTACTTATAGTATGTCTGTTACAAATGTGTTTGGATTTTTTACATTGTTTACACTGTGCTACCCAGATTATCATAAATACAGGTAAAAATAGTAATTTAAAAGTCATATGAAAGCTCTGAACACACTTGTAAAATTATCATTTATATACAAAAATATTAAAATTATTCTGAAATTCACCCAGAGAGAAAGTTGTAAAACTGAGCTAAATTTTAGAGTTGTATAGACAAATATTTATATAACATTATGGAAATGGAAATTAAACTGCAATCCTAAGGCTGGGTTAAAATTTCAGTTTGATCTCTAATGTTACCTCTTACCTGGCGTACACTCTTTCTAAATTGCAGATATGTATTTAAACTCAAACCATAAACAGCAATGGAGGTTTATATCCTGTAGCTCTATTGAGATACTTTAAGAAGTGTGGACTTCAGCTCCCATAATGTCCCAGCCAACATACTGTCTGAGGAATTCTGGGAGTTGAAGTCCACGCTTCTTAAAGTCATTGAGGTTGAGAAACACTGTTTTTAAAAACCTATACAAAGTAGAGAGGAAATATCTATGGCATTTTTCCAGTGGAGCCTCCAGTCCTCCAAAGTAGCTACCGGGTGAAAAGCAAGAGATAGAAAAGCCATAGTAGATGTAAAGACTTTCAATCCCAGTAATAGAATAATAGAAACAGAAAAGGATAGCTTAAGCTTGCAATATGATTTATTTTGAAAAGAGCATTTACATTCAAATGAAATGTGACCTTTCTATTTTAAAAGCCACAACAGAGAGCAAATATTGTTCATTTTAATATGAAGATTTAAGATTGTTTCAATAGGCACTTTTGAAGTTTAGGTAGTGATGGGAACTATAACTTTCCTTGAAATTTTCAGAGCTTTTGATAATGAGGAGGATGTGTAAGCTACATGGTAACATAGGTAGCATTATTTAACAGACAATTTGCAGTGGTGATATTAGGAGACTGTGAGTTCCAGTCACTCCTTAGGACAAAGTCAGCTAGGTGACCATGGGCAGGTTACTCTCTTTCAGCACTGGGAAGGAAGCAATGGCAAGCCCTCCCATCCCCCCCCCAAAACCCCAAAACTTGACAAGAAAACTGCA